GCAAAGCCAGGCCGGGAGGGACCACCCGGAGCGGAGGGGCTGTCCCGGGGGCAGCGCGGGCGGGGCCCTGGCGCCGCGGCTCCGGGTCCGAGGGGCCGCAAGCTCGGGGAGTCGCTAGGACTCCGGGCTCCTCCCCGCCGCGGACTTGCCCTGGGACCCACCTCGGAAGTGTCGGGGATGCTGCACCGGGGCGCTGGGGCTCCAGGCTCCAGCACCTGCCCTTTGTGTGAGCCGCCTCTCGGGGACTCGCCCGCCGTGGTTTCCTAACTCCGAGGGGCGGGGGCGGGGCGCTCCTCGACTCACCTCCGTAAGAAAGGGCAGGCCAACCCTGTGCGGGGCTCTACTTGAGTGAATCATTTTCTTTCTTTTTTTAAAATCAGTTCTTTTCTCTTAATAAATAAATGAAAGGAAGAAAGGAAGACAAAGTTCATTGTAGGGCAGCTAGAAGATTCAGAGGAGCAAAAAGGAAAAAAGATCGTTTGAAAACTATCAAAATCTGCATGGCGGCATGTATCTGTATAAGAATAGAAATGTTTTGTTTCTAAACAAACATATGGGTACTAGTATCCTTTTCTCCATTTACTTTTAAAAATGAGTTATGATCACTTCTCGGCCTTTTGGCTAAGATCAAGTGTATCTTTTCCTATCAGTTTAATATCCGATATGGCCTCTACCCGAGGACAATATATTAAATGGATTTTTGGAGCACGAGTTGGGATAGCACCTTGCTACGTCCACTCCACGCATCCACCTGCTTTGCAGTACCTCCAGGAACGGTGCACCAGAAAAAAAAAATTACGAAATACATTTGGTAAGGGATTTAAAGTGCACGAATCTTAAGCTCCGTGATTTTTTAAATAAATATTTTTATCTGCGTAAGTACAACTTAATCAATATGCAGTATAAACTTATTTTAACTTAATATTTGGAAGTATCTACTAATAGCAATTTTCAAGAACGGCTAATGAATGTGAGGAAAAGTATGTCTGTGCCGTATTTAATCTTCTCTTTAGGCGTTGTGCTCTTAGGGTTGCTTTTTTTTCCCCTCCCCCCTGTATTATAAACAATATAGGCCATCTGGCTGCATATATCTTTGTATTCTTGTCTCATTCTATAAATCTTCTCAAGTGACATTTCTAGGTCATACTGTAAGGCTTTTGATACCTCCTGTCCTAGTCTCTCTAGAAAATAGTAGTTTATAAACGTTGCAGCTAAGGGTGCCGACTGACCAACACCAAGTCTAAGTGTTAATTTCACATCCTTCCTTCACTGATGTGATGTCACTTTTTTCATAACCTGAGTTCTTACATATAAATTTTTTTCTGAACTCTTTGTGTTGGTAGGATTTTAATTTGTTCCACTGACCCTTTTCCCTGTCAGACTGTAACATCCATAAGGGCAGAGAGACTTGATCTGTTTTGTTTACAGCTATATTCATCCCTTCCCCTAAGAATGACGCCTGGTACGCAGTAGGTGGTCAGCAGTACATCCGGTGAATGAGTGATTTTGCTTGTTCAGTAACACTCTGTTCTGATGATCATAGCTTTATAATGTCTGGTGGGCAAAGTCTCACTCATCACTATTTCCTTTCAGAAACCTCCTAGCTGTTGTTACATTAACACAATTAACTTTTTTTAAAAATCATCTTTTCCATAACTAACTTCACAAGATTATTATTTAGTTATAACTTGCCTCGGTATATGTTCAGTTTATAAGTTAATTTCAAAGAAGTGACAGCTTAGCGCGTTGTGCCATTCTCTCCAGGAATATGGGATGTTTCTGTTTAGCTTTATATATCCAAGTAAGCTTAATAAATAAAAATGATAGTTTTCTTTATGTAGATACCATACACTTCTTTTTTTTAAGATTTATTGTTATTTATAGGTTTATTTATTATAAAGTGAAATTATTTTTAACTATTTGACTTTTATTTAGAGATTTCAATTTATTTTTATTATTTTTTAAAAAAATTGAAGTATAGGCAGTTACAACGTGTCAATTCCCGGTGTCCATACACTTGTTACTTGGCTTGTCTGTAGGCACTGTATTTTTGTTGTTGCAGAAGGCTTGTTTCTCATGTCTTTTCCTTCCCTCAGCTCTGACTCCTCTGGCTCCTGCCGGTCCCCAAGGAAGGACCCCACGGGAAGGAAGGAGAAGGCAATGGCTGCTGGGCCGTCACCACTGAGAGCACAGGTGAGCTCATGTTTCTCGCTCAAACCTCTCCCTTGCTCCTTGCTCCTAGACTGTCGGTGGGTCTCACCGCAGAAGACAGAGCTATTGCGATGTCCAAATGTTGGATATTTACAACACAGCTCCCCTCAGTACCCCTCAGCTCTGTTCTCAGCTGTCACTTCAGCTGGATACCCTGGCCTCCTGAGCTGTTGGTGCTGTTCAAGGGTCAGGAAAGGAACAGAAATCATGTGAGAGACAGTCCTGCTGCTTCTAGGGTTCATGGACTCTCAGGGGACATATAAAAGGTCGCATCTTTAGAAGGAACAGGCTCCATGATTGCACATGAATATGATAATAAGAACAAATATGGTTAAGTACCCGGATTGTCAGTGTTCAAGACCTGAAAATAGAAATTAGTGTGGCGACCAGAAGCAGCACGATTGGGCAGGGACACCTGGAGAGGATTTGCTGTAGCGGAGTCAAGAGTGTCCCAAGTGTAAGTCTACCGTTTTATAATAGCTGTGCTGCCTGGGGCAAGTGACTTGACTTCTCTGAAGCATCAGTTCCTCCTGGTGATGACAGAGGTAACAGCATTAACTGAGTGTTTGCCACATGCTTGGCCTTGGTAAGACTTCCGCAGGGTTTGTTTTTTTTTCCTTTATTTAATTTAATTTTTTTCTTTTTAATTTTTTTATTGAAGTATAGTTGAGTTACAGTGTTGTATTAACTTCTGGTGTACAGCATAAAAAAACAAACTGGCACAACTGGCATTTAGCTGTCCCGTCTCCTTAGTCTCCCTTCACCTGAGACACTTCCTGGGTCTTTGTCTTCGATGACCTGACGCTTTCGAAGAGCGCAGTGATTGGTCTGAGACGCATCAGGGCAGCATTAGAGCTCAAGTCCTTTTTTCATTTTTCCTCATGTTTTTATCTCTCCGACATTGGACACTGATGTGACTATTAATTGCCTGAGTATGACTTGTATTTGCCTTTAAATTTTATCTTTTTTTCTGAATATAAATATTAGGCATATATTTGTAAAATTTTTTTTAAGGCTGTAAGATATAATTTCAGGTCTCAAATCCTCAAAAATAACTATGGATGTACATTCTTCTGTTCTTTTAAGATACCTTGTTAACATCTTTTGCCCATCTTTATGTTGGGTTGTTTGTATATAAAAGAAGCCTTTTGTATAAAGTGGATATTAATCCTTTGCCATAAATTGCCATTCTTGTTTCTTGTAATTTTTCCTTTCAATCTGTTTATAATCTTCTGCGGCAAATAAATTTTGAAGTTTCGTGCAGTTACCTTTCCTTTTCCTTGGCTTGGCTTTGGAATCACTGCTCTAAAAGGCTTTCTGGTCCTTTAGATTATAAAAGTACTTTTCTACATTTTCTATTAGCTTTATCGTTTCAAATTTGAATCCTTGAGCTATTTGGACTTTCTTGAATATAACGTGAGGTCAGAATCTTACTTTATTTAACACAGTGTGGTGAGGCAACTCATCATCCATCCATTCAGTGAACAGGAATTCAGCAGCTGCCTACTGTGCCAAATGCCCTGCCAAGCTGTGTTCTGGATGCTGGGGAGATAGCAGTGAATGAGACAGGCTAAGCCCCTTTCTCCTCGATCTTCTCTTCTAGAAGGAGGGGGCAGCAGTGAAGAAGCAGTGTTCCTGAGGACACTGTTCAGTGCCGTGATGGCCACACAGCAGGGTGACCTGGGGGAGTGTGACTGGGGGTCTGTTTTAGCTAGGCAGAGCCAGAGTGGCACCTCTGAGGCATTCGAACTGTGATAAACTGTTGAAAGAATCTATTGCATAATCTAGTTATTTTTCCATAGATCTGAGAGGCTACCTTTAAAATATACTTAATCTATATATAAATAATATTTATATATAATTATAAATGTATGTGTTTTCATATTATATATTCACATGCACACACATATATATGAGTCAGTTTTTCTGGGTTCTGTTCTGTTGCTCTTTTTCTACTGTAGTTCCACACTGTTTTATTTGTTTTAGAATTTATTTTATTTTGTAAAGAAAATTCCCCTTTATTTTTCTTTTCAAAATTTTGATTACTGTACTGTTCTTATACATTTATCCTTGTGGTCAAATTATATTAACAATAACAAGTTCTAACAGAAACAGTTAAAAAATAAGCAATTTTGATCTGGTTTCCATTAAATCTGTATCACCTTGAAGAGGACCACCATCTTCACAATGTTTATTCTTCCTGTTGAGTGGAAAAAATCACCCTTTGTTCTATTCAGATCTTTCATTATGGCTTCTGTTAACTTTGATCATGAGGACCTTGCATATTCCTGTTAAGTGTATTCTGAGGTGTTTCATATTTTTTGTTGCTGTAGTGACTGGAATATAATTTAATCACGATTATGATTTTGTAAAAAAAATTATTTAAGAATGCTCTTTGAAGATATTTTGTTGCCGTGGCGCCTGAAACTTCATCATTATTAATTACTAATTTTATTAATTATTATTATTAATATTAATAATCATACTTTTATTATTATTATTAATCATGCTTTTATCATTAAGATATCCCTGTTTATTCCATTTGATACTTGACCTTTTTAAGGAATAAAAACATCAAAAAAGCCTGTGTCTTAGGTTTAGGAAAACCTCTGCATGAGCGAGAGAAACCCAGGAAGCTGCTTATTTCAGACACCATGCCGTTATCCTGTGCTCCGTGCAGTGCTGGGGAGAAAAACCCGGAGTAAGTGCAAAGGAGAAAGGGAGAAAATAATGTCTTAGGAGATTAACAACAAACATGCTCTACGAACGGTGCAGTTAAGTTTCATTTCAGCCTTTATACCACAGTAAAGGTGTTAAAAACGTTTTTTTTTTTTTAAATGACAAAAAAAAATGCCGTTCTGTACTTGTGTGGACAGGGCCCCACAGTTCCACAGCCGAGACAAGGCCTGTGCTGGCGGGGGGCCCTGCACCTGAGGGGACGAGAGTCAGGGGAGGTGGGGGGACCAGGAAATTAGCCCAGAGGAGTCTGCATTGGGGCTTTTAATTTTGCCCCGTATGTTTAGCCAACAAGGCAATTGCTTTGCTACGAATTTATTGAAAGTAGATTGATTTTTGGAAGGAGAATGTCATATTTCTGATCTGTCATCCTTTTTGCAAAGAAGCAGCTTATGATTTGTTTCCGCGTACATCCTGCCTCACCTTACTGAGATCTGTTCCCCTCCCAGCTTCTTTTTCTGCTTGTTTGCACTTGACTGCGTGTCTCAGCTCTACTACCCCTCGCCACCCCCCGCCTTTTTTTTTTTTCTTTCACTTTTTGGTTTGTATTTTAGGTGTTTCTTTCATATGTGCCATTTAATTGGATTTTAAACCAACCTTACAGGTTTTGTTTTTTAATAGATAAAGTCAACCCATTTATATTCGTTGCTATACGTGTATCAAGCCTTTTGCTGCTTACTTAATGACTTATGGTTACTATGCGTTCTTGTTTCTTTTCCTTAAATTTGTTGCATTGATAATTTTTCTTATTTCCTTTTTTCCTTTCACAAAATGGAAAGTCTCCCATGTATTTATATCTTACTAGTAGCTACTTTCACTTTTCTTGATAGTATTTGTTAGTGATTTTAAACTTTTTTTTTGATACATTGATTTTAAAATATTAGGAGAAAATAATGAGGTAGGAAGATAGTAAACTCTGTGCCTCAGGGCTAACACTTTTTCTGGGGTCCACAGCCAGCAGGATGTAAAACACACAAATTGCTTGGAAATTGGTTTTGCTCTGTCTCTAGTCTCTTTAGTCCTTCCTTCTCCACTGATTTCCTCCCGTTTGCCTATTCGCACATTACAGCGCTCTGTGTCCTTAAATAAAGACCTTGTCCATTTCCACAACTTACTCCTTCTTTCCTTACAGTCATACCTCTCATCTTCACAAGAAGTTTGAGGTAACTTCATCTGACCGCTTCTGGTTCCTTATTTTCCTGTTATTCTTGTTTTCCCCTTGGGTAGGGGAGGTAATTAGGCTTACTTACTTACTTTTTTGATGGAAGCACTGGGAATTGAACCCAGGACCTCGTGCATGCTAAGCATGCACTCTACCACTGAGCTATAGCCTCCCTCTCTTTTATTTTATCCACTGTAAGCTGACTTCTGCCTTCACCTCTCAGCTGAAAGCTCATTCTTTCCACTCATCATTCTGTTTGACCCACCCGGCTTCTGAGAGCACGGACCACTCTCGTCCTTGAAGCCCTCCTTCCCCAGACCTTCAGTCCTGAGTCTCCTCCATCTCCCCACCTGTCTTTCTCTCCCTCTCTCACCTGCTGAGGGCGGCAAGGGTCTCTCCTTGGGCTTCCCCTCACACAGGGGGAGTTGGGTGGCCTTGGGTTCAAGCTGTATGATCTTGGAGAGGTTCTTTAACCTTTTTGGGCCTCAGATCCCACATCTATAGAATGATGGCTTTAATGCTATGAGTCTAGCTGGTTGTCATTTGAATGCTATGAACTGAGGCATGTGAATTCCCTACAGGTACAAAACTGAGTCCCAGAATTATCATTTATGGTAACCACCACTCAGTTCGTGTTCCCTCCTTGTATGCATTAGGGTTCTCCCGAGAAACAGAACCAATGGGATATACGTAGATGTACAGAGAGATTACGTGGGGAGTGGGGGTGCACGACTGTGGATGACAGAGAGTCCCACGATCTGCCGTGTGCACTCCGGATAGCCCAGGAAACTGTGCTGCCATCCCGCTCCAGACCCGGGGGCCGAGTCCGGGGACCGATGGTGCAGGTCCTGAGTCAGAAGCCTCGTGAACTAGGGGCACGGATGACCAAGGGCAGCAGATGACGGCTGTCTCAGCTCAGGCAGGGAGAGCGGACTTGCCTTTCCCTCAGCCTCTTTGTTCTGTCCGGGCCCTCAGCCCACTGGGCAAAGCCCTCCCACCTCTTGTGGACTCTGTCTCCCAATGCAGGTGGGAACATCCTTGCAGAAACGCTCAGAAATAGGTCACGCTTTACCAGCTACTCGGGCATGCCTTGGCCCAGTCAAGTCAACCATCACGCTCATTACCCAGAGATGAATGCTTAGTTTTATTTCCTAGTCTGAGGGCTAGAAAACAAGGCTGAAATGGGCTTATAAATTGGAAATGCCATTTTCAAGTCAAGATGGGTGTTTTCTTGGTCGTCTCGTAGGCCAGCCACTTTTTGGATTTATCCCGCTCGCACATGCTCCCCCCACTAACTGGATTCCTGCCCAGTTATAGTAAAGCCTAGAATTCCATGTGCTGCGTCTACAACTTGGGGCCTCACGTCACTCCAGAGACCTAGCTGTGAGGTCCCCTGCTCTCGCCAGACACACCCCCACCCGGTGGGAAGGGCTCCCCCCACCTGCCTGGCCAGCTCCCCTATCAGCCCAGCCAGGTACACCCCTCCCAGTCCTCAGCCTAGTGGGTTTCATCTCCCTTCCAGCCCACAGAGTTGTTCAAACAAGCTGATCCCATCTTCCCATGGTTACCAAGGGTCACCTCACCCCCTCGTCAGTACAGAGCCTGCCTCCCACGGCCCCTGCTAGTTCTCTGCTCCCAAGTGCAACCCCCGAGGGCCCTCCACGCCATGCGGGTGAGGATATGTGACTGATAAACTGCTCGCAGTCTCATCTGTCCAGTGCTGGGTGTCACGTGTTTGGCCATCTTGTGCTCTTTAGGGTTGGGGACCCCTCTGTCCGTCATCCGTGGGTGAATAGGAGGCGATCCGAACGCCATCTCTTCCTTGGTGCTAACCTAGAGCAGCCTTGGGTAGCTTCCCCCACAGCCCCCTGGACCTCCTCTTCCGTCCCTAAATGCCAAAGCACTTTCTGTATTTACCTCTGGTTATTTCATGGTAATGTCCGTTTTTCTTGCAGGTGTTTGGTTTCCTTGGGAGGATGACACGTTTTCCTCACATACATCTCTCTGTCCTGTCCCTTCTAATGCTGCTTGCTTTTTCCACTCCCTTCGGAGGGTGTCATTGGCGTAACCCTTCACTGAGCGGGAATTTATAGCTTCAGGAGTCGGGGATGTTCGAGGATGAGGCTGTGGATTTCATCCGGGAGGGGTGGATCCAGCTAGACGCTGCTCAGGGGAGCGATGCTGAGAGCTCCCGGGACCTGGCTTCACTGGGGAAGGACGTCTCCTTGTAACTCAGGCCTGCCTGCTGCCACCTTCCCGCCTTTGTCGTCTTGTGCAGCCTGTGAACGTCGTGAACTGGGCTTGGCATCCTGATGCTACAGGCATCGCCTCAGGGCGGGCTGGTTGGTGTTCTCTCTTTCAAGGCGAAAAGCGTTTTCTGTAGAAAAGGGAAAATGGGAACCTCAGAAGCCCTGAGGGGAAGCGATGAGACATGGGCTGGGAGTGGTGCTCAAACTCATTTCAGAACCCACATTTAGTGTCTCTCCTTCTGAGCAGGGCACCATCTTTCCAAACCAAATGTGACTTCTCAGCTGGAGCAAGAACTAAGCCTGAGGACAAAAGAACGCCCAGGGTGCCTCTCCCCGGGCAAGGATCAGGCTGCCAGCACTCGCCCCGGGAGCGGCACCATGGGGAGAACCATGTCAGGGCTCCCTTGGTCTCTTAAGACCTGCACCACTTGCTGTGTGTTTTCTCAGATGCCTCCGCATTGCTGGTGTCGCTCACCCTCCCGAGGTGCACGCATTTTTTAAAATTTATATATATGTACTGTTCATTGTTCTTAAGAACGTTTAGAGCTTTAGCTTTTTAAACTTACAGAGTTATCAAAGGAATAAAGCCAACCACAAAATAAGAATTCACTCAAACAGATACATACACCCTGCTATTAATAGCAACATTATTTGTAATTGCCAAGATATGGAGCATTGTAAGTGCACGTAAGCAGATGAATGGATAAAGAAGATGCAGCATGTATATGTAATGGAATACAGCTCACCCATAAAAGAGGAAACTTTGCCATTTGAAGCCCTTCATTCACTTTTTTTTCACTTCAGAAACCAGAATTTTATAACTGGCACAAACATTTCCATTGCCTCAGAAACAGCTACATTTGTAGCATTTTTTCTTAATTTATTTATTTTGGGTATGGGGAGATAATTATATTTTTATTTATTTGTTTATTTTTTAATGGAGGTACTGAGGATTGAACCCAGGACCTTGTGCATGCTAAGCACACGCTCTACCACTGAGCTACACCCGCCTGTTCTTGTCCCTCAGTGTTTAATCTGCATCTGCTTCCTATTCAGTCCCACGCTCCTCTAAGCACTGAATGCTTCTTGCTCTTTGTTATCAGCTTTCTAACCCCCCTCACAACTGGAATTTCTCTTTTAGACGTTATCCCTGACTTTTCTCCACATGGAACACCTTTATCTTTACTACTAGACACGGAAGTGTTGATCACCACTTCTTTTTATACATTGTTTAAATTGAAGAGAGAGGCCAATACTGTTTGATCTCTGGATAGTGTACAGCTACCTAAGTAAAAAGTAATAAAAGAAATCTTTATAAAAAATATTGATAGGAATAAAAATCATCTTAGGAACACCACGGCTTGTTTCCAGCAAGCTTTCTAAAGAGCAGGATTCTAGAAGAGCCAGCGGGTCGAAGGATGTACACGTCTTCTTGGCTCTACTGCATATTGCACGACTTTTGGATATCATCTTATATTTTGAATGCTAATTTTTTAAGTATAAAATGATCACTTAAGGTAGCTTTGATATAACTTTATTACAGATTTCTGTGGATTCGATTACTATCGCTATTTGTATTCTTATATAAATAACCACCAGATATTTTTGGAGCACTAGGCCCTGTTCCTAACACTGTGGACAGAGCAGCAGCAAAACAGGTAGTTTCCACGTGGAGCTTACAGTCTAGCAGGGAGACAATAAATTAATAAAGAAAGAAGGCAGGGAGGGAGAAGGTGGGGAATGAATGTGGTAGTCGGGTGCTGTGTGGAAAACAGAGCATCGTAAGGAAAGTCAATCAGTTAGCAGAGTGCTGCTCTACAGGGGTGTCCAGGGAAGGCCTCTTCTTAAAGGGATACTGAACAGATACTCAAGAGTGATGGGCCACGTGGGAGAACATTCTGGGTACCAGGAACAGCAGGTGCAAAGACCCTGCAGTAAATCGCATGGCATTGTGTGAAGGGAAGGGTGCGGGATGCCAAGGTTTGCTTAAATTTTGCCTTCCAGCCCTTCTGTGAGAAAACTTACTTCTACTCTCGTGTTTTCTATTTCTGTGCTCCTTCTAACCTCAGAGTGCTCCTCCTTTTTAAATAGCAATCTTTTTAAATGCATGCATTAACTTCTCTTGACTGTAGGAGGATATATAAATTATTTTTTTGGTTGGGGTTTTTGGGTTTGTTTTTGTTCTCTTTTGGCATGTGCATGCAGCCTTTCCCTCTTTCCTCCCCAGATTATTTTAGTGGATTTGTTTATGACTTTTTCATTATGCCGCTGTCATGTTGGTGGGTTTTATGGAAGCAGCAGAGGCAAACAAAGGTATTGTTCATGCTGTGTTTTCCTCTCCCACATTTTTACCCATGTTCCAACTTCTCTGTTGGCCTGAATCCTAAAGATTCTTCACTTACATGCTGCATTTCATACCGTATTTTTCCTGTCTCTTTGAATATTCGTCTCGCCACTAATATGTAGGCTCATGGAATTGTCACGACTGAGCTTACTTCTCTTTATGTATCCCCTGCCTAGCACACTGTATGCCAGAGTAGGTGTTTACTATGTTTGTTGAGTGACTATTAGATGGCATTAAGTAGAATGTTTAGTAATCAGGTAAAACTATAGCTTTGAGAGTTACAATCATATTTGTGACATGTATCTCAGTGAATAAAAGGAGTGGTCAGAGAGGGAGGAGAGAGTTTATGGAGGAGAGCTGGGTCAAGGGAAGAGAGAAAAACAGAGAAGAGGGTGGCATGCCAAGTAAGAAATGAGAAGTGTCGCTGGTCTGAGCGTTGAGGAGGTGGCCTGGGACCCGGGGAAGACCGCTGTGGTCTGCGGGAAACGTGCGGTGGGTGGGAGCGTGAGGAAGGAAACAAGCAAAGTCTTCTAGGTACAGACTGTCCTTTCAACAAGGTTTACTTTGAAGGAAAAAGAAGGGCAGGAACTGAAAGAAGTCAGAGCTCAAGTGCCTCCTGTGTGCTTTTGACCAAGGAAAAGCCTTGAATGCATTTGCAAGAGCAGAGGGACATCCTTGAGAGAGGAGAAACTCAACACAGAAACGAGGAGGCAGAGAACGGAGCCCAGAAAACGTGATGGTGTGCAAACGCCAGGTCTTGTTCTTTCCTGGTTTTCTCCGCCGTTATTGCCAGATTAAGCCACCCGTTGGTCTCACTGTGCGGTCCAAACCCAAGATGAGAAAGCGGCAGCTGAGCGCCGTGCTCAGCTCCCGCCCCGGCGTCATCTGATCGACCCAGCAGCACACTCCCCCAGGGTGGGTACTCCCAGCCCCTCGGCAGTGGAGGGAGCAGGCCCAGAGAAGTCAAAGGGCAGGCCGGAGTTTGAACCAGGCTCTTTGTTTTCTTGGGTCTTCGAGCTTAATGCCAATTGTAAAAAAAAATCATAACTTTCTTTCCTTGCCTTGCTCTGACTTCTTACCTCTTAGTATAGCTAGTAAAAATAGAACTTGTGCCTCCTGGCCTAATTTTCTTTTTTAGATGATGGTTTTCTTTTCCTGTACTGAAGTGTCCGTGTGTACAGTTGTTGAATGCTTTGTTAAATTTTGCTCGTGTCTTATAAAAGCTGTGTCGCAAATGTAAAGATAAAAGTGTTGTTCCTAGAGGCAGTTTTATCTAGTTAACTTGCTGACATGGAAAAGGAAGTTATGGAATGTGGAAAGCAGTGAATTTTTATCCTTTGATCAGCGGTCATTGGACTTAAATCAGTTAAGGTTTCAGTTATGAAGGAAACAAAGGTAAGAACGTGGGTAAAGGATTAGAAATCTATTATCAAAGATTATGTCTGAAAAATAAGGTGCCGTTAGGGGTTCTATGACATGTTAAGCTGTCCAGGAAGCTACCTTGAACTACCTGTGAACATGGAAACCTGTTCGTGTTTTATACATGAGTTTTTGTATCCCTCTCAGAGATGTACTGGGTCGCTGCCTCTGAGTATATGTGTGTGTGTGTGTGTGTGTAAATATATGTGTGTGTACACACACACACACAGAATTCATAAACTCTGTACCTTCATGCTAACATAAGCCTCTTAATTAATGTTTAATATAGGCACACATCTTTGCTTCCATTAGTAGGAAAGTTAATGTAAAAGGCTATAATAAATGTAGTTGTTTCCAAAAAGTGTGTTCCTCCTTGCACGGAGCAGGCCCAGTTACCTGGAGGCTGGAAGTCTGAGGCCGGGGTGCGAGCACGGTTGGGTTTCGGGTGAGGGCCCTCCTGTTTCACAGCAGACAGCAAGCTCTCTGGTGTGTGCCGCTTCTTACAAGGGCGCTGATCCCATCACAAGGGGCTTTACCCTCATGACTTAATGACCGAAGACTCCAGCTCTTAATATTGTCTCTTTAGGGCTTAGGCTGCAACATACACATTTGGGGGAGACCCAGACATCAAATCTGTAACATTCACTGTTTTCAAGTATTCTGTTCCATAAACATTTGACAGTTTAATTATCCCCTCTCTTGTTGCTGGACATTTGGGTTGTTTCCAATTTTTTTGCTATTGTACACAATGCTCCTTTAAAAATTACGAATCACGGTGGACCTTGGCCAGTTACCTTGTGTATGTACCTGCTAGAGGACTCGCTGGATCACAGTCTGTGTGCCTGTTTACATCACTAGGTTGTGCTGAACTGTTTTTCAAATACTTGAATCAAATTACACTCCTACGAACAGTGCGTGCAGGTTCCATGACGGTGTGTCTTTCTAAAATCTGAAGCTGTCAGCCTGAGTTTTTGAATTGTTACTCCGGTGCATGTGGTGATAGTATCTCCCGGGGGCTGTAATCAGCCTTCTCCTGGTTACTGCTGGGTTGGCATCTTTGCTTATGTTTACTCGCTGTTCAGGGTTCCTTCCCTTAAGTGCCTGTTCAAGTCTTTGGCCCATTTTCTAGCGGGCATGGTGTTCCACAGACATTGTTTCCCAAGTCCACGTTCTAGAGCTCTTTTCAGGTCATGTGTTACAAATATCTTCTCCTGGTATGTACCTTTTCGTTTATTTTTTGTTAACTTTCTTTTTTATGTCTTTTGATGATCGGAAGCATTTATTCTCCTGTTTGGTTTTTATGCTTTTTCCCCCTCGTTCTCCCGATTTTATTATCTTAAACGTTTCTTGAACCTCTACCTAGTTCCCAACTTGGGTATCTTCTGTGCATCATTAATGTTTGAATAGTTCTGCCTGTCTGGACTTCGTCTAGCAGTGTGAACAGATGCCCCACTCAGGATGTTCTCAGAGAACCTCCGTTGCACAGCTGGCTGTGACGTAGTGAGGCGGGGCAGGAGGCAGCCCCGGTCCCGGTGTGCCTGCTGGTGTTTCACGCTGGACCAGACAGGTCCTCTCTGAGGTCACCTGGCCGTGTATGTGCTGTAGAGGTGGCGCCTACTCGGGTTTCCACTTTTTCTCTTCCTTTACGTAAGCAGGTCAGGCTGGAAGGAGGAGGTCCAGTTAACACATACCTTTTGCTTCGCAGTAAAGCCTCCTGCCCACAGGCCTTTGGTCTGTTGGTTCAGTGTGGATCTCTGGTCTGGTAATCCTGATCAAGCTGACCAGCTGACTCTCCATTTGTAGCTTCCTGCCCTCTGCCTCTCATTGTCTCTGGGCTGTTTCGTCTGGGATGTGAAATGGGATCTGAGAAAATAAGAGTCTGAGTGGCTGCCAGGTCTTTCTTTCAGCCCCATCTCCAGCAGATTCCCCCTGCCTGCCCTGCCCCTGCCACCAGGTCCTGTCTTTAAGGAAAGGGTGGGGCCCTTTAGGGCTCTCTCACCTGAAGGAAGTGAGAAAATTATGTGCTCCTTAAAGTTGGGGGGCCAAGGTGGGGGGCTTTTAGGTTGTGTCATCCTCCCTTCAAGTATATCCTGGTATTTGATGTTCCAGACAACTGTGTTCCTGCAGGATAGTTTATGTACATTTTACTTAATCCTTATCAGATTATTTTATCCTCATTTTATATCTGTGAAAACTCAGACCCAGAGAAACAAGTTATGACTTAAGATGGTAAGTGTTAGCCAGTGTTTAAACCCAAGTTTGCCTGACTCCAGGGTAGACAGTCTTTTCCTTGGGTTACACTGTGATGCTCTGTGAAGACTTACTGTCAGAATTGCGGACGGTGCTGCAGGAGGGAAGGCACTGCTGGCAGGGATGCCCGAGGAGCGTGACAGGGCTTCCTGGTCTGCCTCTCCCGGTCCCGGCTTGTCTGTCTGTCTCCCCTGTTCCATCTTCATTATGTAGCCTTGTCCAGTGGTCGGTGACTTCGGTGCCCGTCCCTCCTGCACAGCTCACGCTGCCCTCTGCCTGCCCTGCTTCTACTTCCTCCCCCTTACAGCTAGCTCTCTTCCCTTGTAGGGACATCTTTGAAAAGCTCTCAAATGCCCTATAATTATTCTCAGTTTCATCCTCTCATTCCCACCTCATACAGTTCCTCAGCCTCCCAGCACAGAAGCCAATGACCTTTTTTATTTGTTTCAGACTGGAAGACAAGCCTTCAAACCACAGAGTTGGCTACAAAGCCCAGCGTTACTGAAGATCCGTCCCACGGGGTGATGATGGAAAGGGCGAGTCCCTGGCCTTCTGCTCTGGGGGAAGCCTGGGAACCAGACCATTGGCTTGAGGGACAACAGAAAAACCAGGACGGACATCGGGACCACGTGCAAGTTACCCACAAGGAAACCCTCACTGAGAGAAGGACGTGTGGAGGTAATGAACTTGAAAGGTGTTCCATTCAGGGTTCAGTCACGGATACACAACAACCTATCCCTGTGGGAAAAAGTCCTCGCAGGCAGAACTCACATGCAAAAGACACTAAACAAAATGCTGGGTTAATTAAGACTCCAAGGACGTTTGCAGGAAAAAAAATCTATGAATGTAATGCATGTGGGAAAACCTTCAGCCAGAGTTCATCCCTTCTTAAGCACCAGAGGATTCACACGGGGGAGAAACCCTATAAGTGTAACACATGTGGGAAGCACTTCATTGAACGCTCCTCCCTGACTGTGCATCAAAGGATTCATACTGGAGAGAAGCCCTACAAATGTAATGAATGTGGGAAAACCTTCAGTCAGAGCATGAACCTCACTGTTCATCAGAGAACTCATACTGGAGAGAAACCGTATCAGTGTAAAGAGTGTGGAAAAGCTTTCCGCAAAAATTCATCCCTTATTCAGCACGAAAGGATTCATACTGGAGAGAAGCCCTACAAATGTAACGAGTGTGGTAAAGCTTTTACCCAAAGCATGAATCTCACAGTGCATCAGAGAACTCACACGGGGGAAAAACCCTATGAGTGTAATGAATGTGGAAAAGCCTTCAGTCAGAGCATGCATCTTATTGTACATCAGAGAAGTCATACCGGAGAGAAACCCTATGAGTGCAGTGAATGTGGGAAAGCCTTTAGTAAGAGCTCAACCCTCACCCTGCATCAGCGGAATCACACTGGGGAAAAACCCTACAAATGTAACAAATGTGGGAAGTCCTTTAGCCAAAGTACATACCTCATAGAGCATCAGAGACTTCATTCGGGAGTAAAGCCTTTTGAATGCAATCAGTGCGGAAAGGCTTTCGGTAAGAACTCATCTCTTACTCAACACCGGAGAATTCATACTGGAGAGAAACCTTATGAGTGTCCAGTGTGTGGAAAACATTTCACTGGGCGATCATCGCTGACCGTACACCAGGTTATTCACACTGGGGAGAAGCCGTATGAATGCAGCGAATGTGGGAAGGCCTTCAGCCAGAGCGCTTATCTTATTGAGCATCAAAGAATTCATACCGGTGAGAAGCCCTATGAATGTGACCAGTGTGGGAAAGCCTTCATTAAGAATTCATCCCTGACAGTGCACCAGAGGACTCACACAGGAGAGAAGCCCTATCAGTGTAACGAATGCGGGAAGGCCTTCAGTCGGAGTACGAACCTCACGCGGCATCAGAGAACTCACACGTGAGGAGAGCTTTCCTGGGACCCTTCACTGTGGTTAACTCTCCAGTGATAACCCCATTAGGTCACGTGATGGAGAAACCTAGTGAATGTAACGATCGTTGGAACCTCTTAGGTGAAGTACAACATACCATATCGGAGAGGACAGGCCACCGCAGAGAAGCCGTATAAAAGTGGAGAAACCTTGATTGAGAAGTGAAAGTAGGGTTCAGACAGCTGATGCTGTAAACGAGGGCCATTCATGCGGAAGGTGCATTCTGCCGTGTCATGCTGCAGATTCTTCTCTGGGCAGTAGGGACTTCACACTGGAGAGAAGAATGGGAATGCTTAACTGGGCAGCCCGGAGGCCTGACATGTCGTCCTGGTCTGCCGCTGACTTGGACAAGTCACCTGCTTTCACCAAGTCCCAGTGTCCTTATTTGGTAAATGAGAGACTTTTTTTTTCAGAAGGCTCCGAGATCCCTATCAGCTCTAAAATGCTACAAACCTATAAATACAATGAATGCTGGGAAATCCTCGATCTTTTACCATGTCAGGTGTGTCACCCAGATGCTCCTGTTCCACAGTCAGGTTTCCCTGGATGTTCTGAGTCAAAATTCCCTACCTCTGCCAACGCCCGTTACCCCCCCGCCCCCGCGTTGTTACTCTCTCCCCTGGAGCACTGGCTCGGTGCTCCCAGGTGGCAGAATACTTGTACAGGTCTCAGAGCAGCAGCATGCCGTTTTAAGTTCTCAGCAGTCGTTAAACTATTGTCAAATAAGCTATTTAGAAAACACTGTAACAAATACAGCCTTTGAGTCCATAGGATTCAAACACACATCTTTGTCTCATATTCTGATGACTGAAGTGACAAGGGGAAAAGGCCAAACGCTAACAGAGATGAAAATTCGACACGTGAACAAAACCTCTGCAGCTCACAGCATGCTCAGAGTAATCACAGGGAGAGGCTGAAGAGGCCTGTAGTTAGGAGAGTAGCTCAGGCAATTTATTTATTTTGTGCACATTTAGTAAGTGCTAAATATGATTAATTCTAGAAATGTCTAGAAATCAAAATGAATAAGGTAGTCTTTTGTTTTCCAAAGACTAAGAAATTGGCGGTGGGATGGAAGAGGGAAGAATTCCAGAAGTAATAAGGCAGGTAACACAGCAACCAATTAAACACGGGCGCCTGAACTCATCTGGGTGGATGGGGTGCTATAAATAAGAACAGGAAAAGTTGACCAGTTCTGTGGGGCGGTGACGAGTCCGGTCTGGGGGGCATCCTGTGAGTTGTGGCCACCCAAGCGGATGTCCGGGCAGCAGAGTAAGTTGAAGGCCAGTGACCCAGGGTTCTCTGGGAGTGCTGTCACTGACCGCAGTCAGTGGGCAAAGTGGAATCAGTAGAAGCTGAGGGGAAACGATAAGCAAAAGAAGAAGGAAAAACAAAAATCAGGAGGAGGTGGCAGCACAGAAGTAGAAGAATTTTAGCATAGGGACAGGGACAGTTAGTGTTTTCCAGTGCCGCAGAGGACTACAGGAAGATAAAAATAGAAAATGGCCTTTGGTTTTGGGTATGGGTAACCTGCAAATTTTAGTGGCTTGAAGAGTGAGTTAGAGGTTGAAAAGGACTTCGCAGCTTGCCTGAGAAAGGCGAGATTTAGGAAGATAACCGGGGGGAGACTGTGGTTGAGAGGGGGTGTCTGTATCAGAATACATATACAGAGGGTGTATATATCGGCTACAAATAAGAGAAAGCCCAGATCACAGTGCCTTACAAGCAACCAGGGATTTATTTTTCTCTCATAACAAATATGGAGGTGGTTGGCACTGGTTCAAAGACAAAATTATTCAGTGCCCTGAGTTTCAGGACTTTTCTGTGATGTCACATGATGGCTCCCATAGCTTCAGGTAAGTTAGCTGCATTCAAGGCAGGAAGGAACACCTGTGCCTTTTACCAGGCAAGGTTTTCACAGAAGCCCCTCAGCCGACCTCTGCTTACAGCTCACTGACCACAGCTGTGTTGCATGGAGGCTAGGTGCAAAGGAGGCTGAAAAAAATAAGTATTTAGCTCTTCCAGCCTCTGTAATGGAGGTGGGCAAAGAAAGGGTGGGTGGAGAAAGGTGTTGTAGCCAACGAACAGTCTGTCAAGAGTGTATGAGGTAGAAGAACTGAGCATGTTTATCACTGCATAAACATGGAACATCTGAAGGTGCAGAAAGGAGGGGACGTGCAGCTCAAAGTAGGGAAATGGGTTTGGGGCACAGGTGGCGGCTACAGGGATCTTTTTCAACAGGACGAAGGAAACTTTCCACCAGGAGAGGTAGGAATCAAGAAATGATGGGTACAAAGTGGGGAGGGTGTAGCTCAAGCACTAGAGCACGTGCTTAGCATGCACGAGGTCCTGGGTTAAATCCCCAGTACCTCTTCTAAAAATAAATAAACCTAATTACCTCCCCTCCAAAAAAATTTTTTTAAAAAGAGGAAATGATGGGTACAGAAGATATCTGTGGGTAGCAATGGAGGAGGCTCCCTATGGAGTCTGGCTGTTTGGACCTTGGGTAGTTCAGTCTGTGCTACGGGACCTCTATGGAGGCAAAGACTAAGGGGGAATGAAACACTGAGTTAATTATATCCTCAGGAACTTAGGTTTTTAATAATGCCTCTCCCTTACACCCAGTTTCCTCCTTTCCCTTCACATAATTCTTTTTCTTGTTCCCCACCTGATCTCAAGATAGAGAAATGGATGAAAAGGAGGCAGAGAGGTGGGTAGGAAATAGATGAAAAATGATAAAGACGGCAGCAAAATTAAAGTCTCAAAAGAGAGGCAGACGACAAGGGGGAGAAGAAGAAGAAAGTGTACTGAAGCCTACGATGGACGCAACAACCCAAAATTGGTAAAGTATGAACCCTTAGAGGGAGCAGCGGCAGAAATGGGTCCAATAAATGAAGGTTTCACTACTTTTTCATTTTTAGAAGCTTTGGGGCCCTTGTCTGTCAGTTCTCAGCCGTCCTGGGCAGCAGGTAACAACCTCCGCGCCTTCTCTCCAGTCATGAGACCTTGGGGAGAGCACTTAGTATATCACTGTCTCAGTTTACTTATTAATAGTGCAAACTGCTGAGCTCTGGGTTACAGCCAACACTAATGTAAAGTGCTTATAAAAGTGCCCGACACATTTAGTACTCAATAAATATTTTATTATCATCATTCTCCTATACCCGAAAACAGAATAATAATCCAAACTTCTCAGCATGGCATCCAGAGCCCTTAACTATCTTAGAATCACGGAGTTCTCAAAGCAAAGGCCCTGTAGGAAGGTCGTACGATTGTGGGCGCCTGTCTCTCCGGCCTGGGTTGCCTGCCCTCCCTCTGGCCCCACGCAGCCCGTTCTCCCACAGCTGACCAGTGATTGTGTCTAAATGTGTTCAGCCACGCCACTCTCCTGCTCAAACCCCTTTAATGGTTCCCCATTACACACAGAATAAATCCACACTTTCTACAGTGGCCTTCAAGGCCTCTGGTTACCCTTCCAACCTCCCCTCCCACTCTCCCTCCTTCACTGTGCCCTCTCCTGTCAAACTGGCCTCGCTAAGCCACAAACTCACCAAACACGCTTCCATCTCTGGTCAGCGTTTCTCTTCTCTCCCCAGATGGGCACACGGTTTCCTCCCTCACTGCATGCAAGTCTCTGCTCAAATGTTAACCTCCTCAGAGGAAACCTCTAGAAACACTGCTTAAGATAATCCCCACCTCCTCACCCCCGTCACACTCTAAACTTTAATACAGCCTCACCGTGTCATCACCAGCTAATAAATATTGTGTATCTGTTTTGCTGACTGCCATTCCCAGTAAAGTGCAGCCTGCCTGAGTGCGGGCTTTCACTGCCATTTCCCCTGCCTCTAGAACAGTACTTGACAGGTAAGTGCTCCAACAGTGTCTATAGAACGAAATCTTCAATAAAACCCGAAACAGAATGCCTAGTGTCACTGACACTGCTCACTCAGAGGTGGCCAACAGTTTCCTCACTGATAAATCTCAGGTCCCGTCCTTGGGGGGTTTCGGGTTTTGTTTGGCCACAAAGTTAAAGTCTTCTCATCTTTCCTTTCTGAGCTCCGTGAAAATATATATTCAAAGGCAACTTAATACCTACAGTCGGGTCTTTCTGTATTTCGTCCTTGCCCGCCCCCGCAAAACACTGTCCACAAAAATAAATCCCACCTTCCCAACCCCCCGCCCCAGGTGTACCGCACAGCCTCCTTGGCGTCCCACACCGTCCTCCGGATACGCCGTGGAGGACCCAGCCTATCCCCCGTCGTGGGAGGCTCCCGCGCGCCGTGCCCTCGGTCCCCGGCCACCGCCCCGGGCC